CCGGATCACTTCTTCTAGAAGAACCAGAAATAGATCTATTCAAATGACGAGGATTTTGTTCCTGTTTTTGTTTTACAAAACTCATATATTACTTAATCTCCTCTCTGATAGCTTCAGGAACATTTTTACAAGGGGCAACATCCCCCTTAATACCGGCAAGATGTTTCTTAAACCAGTTTATCCCCCTATTTGTATCTTTTTCACAATAATTGCATCTAATGCAATTTTTGTCATTTGGATTCGGGTTATATCCATATTTCCAACTCGGATCTCCACTTCGACTAGATCCTGAATAGACATCTCAAAATAAAACAAGCAATCTAAAAAATAAAGTTTTGCATTTACTTTGATTGTTCGAACTCCAAACTCCCATATGAGGTGTTTTCTCGTCCTAAAATAGTAAAAAACACCCTCTAATAGGATTAAAAAAACTCCAAAACTAAATCTAATCTATCTGGGTGATGCTTGGATCCATTTTTCGTAAAATTTGAGAAACACTTCGATCCAATGAAAATCACAAAATTTAGTTTTTTTGAGATTTATTTCTCTTTAAAATGGGTTCTTGTGGGTTTAGGTTTCAAATGAACATAAAACCAATCCTTAAAAGCCTTTATGTTTAAACAAAACTCAATAGAACAAAAAAAGAAAACTCATTTCCGCCCCTAGGAGGGGCGCAGGCTCTGGGCAGCCGCCTGGGGACTGCCGCCTAGTTTGACCGCCTAGGCCTGGGCGGTTTGGACCGCCTAGGCATTGGGCGGTTCGCTTTTTTGAACAATGCTTGTTTGACATTGTCTTTTTGTTTAATTGTAAAATTGGAACTAGTGTGTAACTACCCGGCGTACTCCATTCTGATTTGGCCGAGTTACTTGGACTCAGCGCTTTGCCGAGTTGAGTATCCGAGGACAACTTAGGTATATTAAAAAAATTAAAAATAAAAATTTTAGAAACTTGGAGGATCAATGTGTAGAAATCATAGATGCAATTTGGATGAGTTTTACTACAATGATTTGTGACTTTTTATTGTCAAATGCCATATTTTTTTATTTTTTCCCTTTTTTTTGGGATTTTTTTGAAATGTCTCTAACCATAAATCTATTTTATCTAAATCCATTTTTTTTTTATATTTTTTAGCTTATTTGGATTCTTATGTTGGTTTTTAGTTTTGTTTCACTTTCAAACCTTTTAGTTTATTTCTTAGTATTTTTTTTTTTTTTTTGTTTTTTAGGGCTTTTTGGGCCTTGTACATTACTCTACCGAGTCCGATCGGAGTCGGAGGCGTTACCCGGCTTGGGTTTAGGCCGAGTTTGAGGCTCGAGCCGAGTCGAGAAATATTAATTGGCACTAGTGGCATGGAGGGTCCCAATTGGGGCTTTATTTAAAGATTTGGGTAGGACTAGTAAATTTGAGAAGCTTTATTTTTTTAGGATGGCGTGATTTGCTCCTTTTCATCTTGGACTTCTTTTAGGATATTTTAAAGAGATCCCAATTGAGTTCTTCTTTGTATTTGGACGTGATTGAAAAGAAAAGGAAAAGTAGCTTTCTTCCTTGGCATGAAAGATAGAGAATGAGCTTATTCTTGATGTTGCCTGAAGATCCTTATTTCCTTATCTATGGTTGGCTGATTTATGCACGTTCTAAGATTGAAAGAATGCTTGATGTAAATGTAAACTCCTGGGTTTCTATCACATCAAGCGGTATTCAGTAGGGTTCAAATACGGTTAGCAAATGCTATGAATGGTCATATGCCCATAGGAATGGCAAGTTCGATCAGATGAACGAGCGACTCGACAACTTGATGAAATTGGTTGCACCAATAACATGCCCTAAATGAAGAGGTTCCCATGGTCTTTGATCGAATCGTGAATGTTTTGATGTAGATTGGCACGGATTGGAGTCCAAATTTGGGTTGGAGCAGGTTGATGATGTGTCCACTCATCCAATTTTGTTTGTTGAGCTATGACATCGACAAGATTGTGAATTTGATGGATAGTTTTGGGCAGTCGACCACCTTCTGGCCGATGTGACTAGCATAGGGGCACAAATTGCTGGGATTGCATGATAGGCATCAAGTACATGAAAATAAGAGCACGGAGTGTCCGGTTGAGGTATTAAAGTTGATATCCTTGAGTTTTATGGAAATCTTTCTCTTGAAGAGTTTTTGGACTGGTTGAGCACTGTGAAGCTCTTCCTTGGTTGGAAAGACGTTTCCGATTCAAAGAAGGTCAACTCGCAGCTCTTAAACTAAGGGCGCTTGCATTAGCTTGGTGGGGTCAAGTTTAAGAAGCACGGCTTTGAAAGGGCAAAGGTAAAATCTCTTCATGGCCCTTGATAATGGTAAGATTGCACATGCAATTTCTCCGTCGAGCTATATGCGAACATTTTACCCACAATTTCACTAGTTGCATCAAGGTACAAAATCAGTTTAGGAGTATATGGATGAGTACTACCGCTTATCCTTGCATAATGAGTTAATGGAAACCAAGGACCAAAAGGTGCATCACGTTTCCAGGTTGGGGGAATGCGATTCAAGATGAGTTCGCCCTACATCATATGCCACGGTTGGAGGTAGCCTATTAAGCTGCCGTTGAGGTGGAGGAACGACAGAGAAATGGGGCAGCCACACATCGATCCACTCTTCGAACAAGATTTCTCTTGTTTGGGATGCTCCTAAGCTCTAGTTTTCCTGTGATTCCCACTTGCATTGGTGTTTTTGCTATATGTTGCCAGAGAAGGGTGCTCAACTGCAATTGATGCGTGGTGCATAACTTCCATTCCTCCTCTTTTCATTGAAGAAGATTATAAGTCTCATGAGGGAAAGCAAGTTTTTCTTGAAGTAAGATGTGATAATAGCTTCAAGTCTGAATTAAGACCTGTAAGTAGCTCATAAACCTGATGTTCATCTACTTTCATTCTATACTTTTCAAGCCCAGCTGCACGGTCACATGGTTCATAGTAACTCAGTTCATCCTACATTCCTTTTAGCTTGCCAAAATACGCCGAAGGAGACTTATCTCCTTGTTGATAGCATGCTATGGTACAACGAAGTTGGACAACTGAGAGAATTTCTATCGAAGGGCATCAAAAAAACATGATACTGTCATGTACATCAGGTCCCATTAAGTAATCATGAAATAACTATTGCGTCATTAGCTCTCGATTCATCAAAATTTGGATATGTAGAACTAGAAGTCTTTTGAAGTCCCATCTACATGACCCATTTTATATCGCCATAAACCAATTTTTACACGCTGTGCCCAGGATAGGTAATTTCTTCCATTAAATTTGATAGTTGTAATTTTCATACTTGAGCTATAAAGAAGCAGAGTTAACTGACCATTATCATTATCATCATTAAAGCTTTTTCCCTATTAATTGCGGTCGGCTACACGAATCTTGGTTCGTCAGTTTACTCTATTAAAGGCTATATCCTCAGTGAGGCCATAAGTCCCCATATTTTTTTGAACTATTTTCAACCACGTCCTTTTGGGCCTACCCCTTGTCTTTTTAAGTCCTACTTGAACTAACTCGCACCTCCTAACAGGTGCTGAACTTGGCGGTGCCACACATGGCCGGCCCACCTAAATCTATTTTCTTTCATCTTAGCGTCTATTTGTGCCACACCTAGATTCTCCCGAATGGATTCATTTCGAATTCTATCCATTCTTGTCTTGCCATTCATCCATCTCAACATCCTTATCTCTGCTACACTCATTCTATGGGTATGTTGTTTTTTGTCTGCCCAACTTTCAGCCCCATAGAGCAAAGCTGGTCTCACAACTGTCCTATAGAACTTGCCTTCAACTTCATTGGTATGCGGTGATCACATAAAATTCAAGTTGCACATCTCCATTGTGCCCACCCCGCCCTAATTCTGTGTGCGACATCTTCTTCAATCTCTCCATTTTCTTGGATTATCAACCCAAGATATTAAAACTAAACATATTACCAAACGACGGTTTAAGATCAAGAAAGCTTCACCCCAAAAGAAGGTTTGCATACAGCTTATGCAAAATTGTTGGTATTTGTCTCGAGTCAATTTTGATTCTATACATGTTCAATGTCTAAAACATATGTTGGGCAATCTGGGTAGCAATAAAAAATTAAGAGAGAACACAAACCTGATTCTCTTTTGATCCTAAACTTCTAGAGGGTACTGATGCTTGAAATGAACCAGATCCGTTACTGGTTTTACTTGATGGAGCTTAAGACAAGTGATATTTTTGAGAAAACCTAAAAACAAGGTGAAAACCCTTGTTCCCTTATAAAAACTTTTTATTAGATATAATAGTATCATCAGAGCCTTTTCCCAACTAATTGGGGTCGGCTATTTGATTAGATATCAACCCTGTCAATATACATGTCAAAAAACTCAGCTCGATGTACCAATGCAAAGGCCTCAATAAATTAGGGATCAGTATGTATATATGTTTTTTTAAAAAAAGTGATGAAAGTGTTCACTTGTTCTCCACCAAGTGACAATAGAGCTAGCAGAACAAATATTTAGGGTAAAAACTGATTTATACTGAATTCTAATGCCGTCTCCCTGATTTTTATTGGTGACTAACACCTTGTCCTCATCAATTTATATGCTTAGGATTTTTGAAAGCTCAAAGTGTTGTTATGAAGCCCAACATCATTTTGACTTGGTGAAGCAATACACAGAGGGATGTGGTATTTATGAAATTACAGGGCAATTTTGGGGCATATGCATATATACCAGTCCATGATTGCAACTCATGCATTCCTGATTGTCTCTCTTTTTGGGTATTTCAGCATGGGAATTGAACTTGGGATGTAGTGTTGCATGCATCAACCAATAGCCAATCAAGCCTAAGGCGTATTCTTCATTGGTGCAAGCACTACTTAGCTGCGAATGCACACACTACTAATATTTTAGAATGCAGAATCATGTCATCTTTTGTTTATGATTTTACCAAGGTATAGGATACCATTGTGACAACGTGTTTTGTTTTATCTTTTACCTGTCTTGAATGCTTCAGAGAGATGGTCGGAGTACAGACTACAACAATTACACAGATGCCAGGGTATGGTGCTTTTCCTTGCTGTGAGTCAAGTAGATCTAGTTTCATCTAGGAAGAAAGGAAAAGAAAATGATAATTTTGGTGTAGGTTTTTGCTATTGTTTCTGTTATCCAGCAAAGGGCCAACAATCCCATTATTGTTTAATACCTCATTTTCCATGAGCCATGGCAGGGAGATGCAGATATTTTCTTCCCTACAGATTTTTGGCTCTTGGAGCGCATTGATCACGACTGTGCTGATGGACCGAACCATCATACTACACCATCTAGGAAAATGAAGAAACGGCGAACAATTATAGTAAGTTCTTTTATCTCAAGGAAAACTTGTTTCCTTTCCAACCATTTTTAGCTTTCTGCGTGTCATATAGCTTGATGCGGGACTTGAATAATTAAGATTTTTATTTATCTGAATTTTCCGTTTCTTATTTCACTCAAATTTGTTCCTTTGCGTGTAGCTTGATACTGCTGCTTTCATGGAAGAATTTGGGCTTCCTTCAAAGACAAGAACTAAGGATGGGTATAACCCACTTCTAGAAGATTTCAGAAACACAAAATTCTATTTGAGTGTTCCCACTCATAACAGGCCTAAGCCATAGTACATGATCCATGATTAGGAAACGCATGGTTCGGCTTCATTGGTGACCATTTACTGCAACTGTGAGCTCATGGAAAGCTGATGCTCCGATAGCATTTTTTACCCCAAAATGAAGTTTTCCAATGTGTTGTTTTAAATAAAATTGTATGGAGTTTTAATCCAGCTGTGCTTATGTCCACTCTTGTCTTGGTTTCGAAAGCTAAATTGCATGTAACCACTAAAAAAATCCCTGTCCCAGGTGATAGTCACAGATTTTGTTTTGGTAAATATTCGAAATATCATTGGCTTCAACAATTTTTTGTTTTGGATCATGTATTAAGCTTAATATGTAGAAAATTTAATTTTTTTGGCATTCTATGTTTTTGAGTGCTGCCTTGACTGATATGTCTTTGCCTTGCCGTCCTTGCTTTGTTTCCCCACTTGAAAGTTCAGTTGCTACTCCTGAGGACCTTTTTAGTTACAATGCCTCTTTTATCTGCATTTGCTAGGCAGTTACCTATAAAAGGAACCGCAAGGTATTATTTGTCTGTAGCAGTTTTTTAAACCTGGAGATTTCTGATCTAGGTCGCTGATCGGGATGGGAATCTGTTGGGACCAATGCAGTCCCACGAGATGGCATAGGTCTGGCCCAGTTTGCCCTTAAAATGCCTCGTATATATATTCTATATTATGTCAAGATTATTCAATACTTTCTTTGGTCCCTTCTAAATCCGAATCCTATGAACTCCTATTTTAATTTGTATTGTATTTTGTTTATTTATTAATATTTTATGGATCGTCGATTTAGACTGATCCAGATCTGATCCAGATTAACTATCTAATGATCGGACATGGATCTGCGGGTGAATTGATCCGCTCCATCGATTTTCATTTCAGAACATTGGTTTCTGGTTCGGCTAGATATGGTTACATGCATGTTTCTTCAATGGCAGTTTGGTGCCTGCACGTATAAAAAGTTACATAGTTTTGACGAGCTTCAGCTGAAATGTGGGGGATTATCCTGGATAGAGGCAAACATGATGGTAGGTCAACTTCTATCCTGAATAAGGGCTGTTCCCTAAGATGCTCACCTGTTGTGCACTAAATAGGGAATTTGGGGTAAGATTGTGATCTTTTATGGCGTGTTTGATTTGTGGAAGCTGCGGTTTCTACAATTGTGCACTTCTATTTGTGTGTGGGAAGTGTCATCGTCGTTTTGGATCAACAGCTTCCAAAACGATGTCAGTTTAACATATGGGGATGAGGTCCCCTTCTTATAATAAAAATAAAACTCAAGATGTCATATTGTCATCCTAACTACTTAGTTTGAGCTCATTTTTAAAATAGATTTCTTGACACATCAATAAAAAAAAGAGAAAAAAGATCGTACTTGTTCAATCATGAGATCTTGCCTTCCAAAAATTGGATCGTACTTGTTCTATTATGTTATGGTATTTTTCCAATCACGTAGGTTCAATTTGAAAATTTATTATTTAAGGTCATTGGGCCAAATTTTACATCCACAGAATTTGGATTGTACTCAAGAGAGCTAATGGACAATTTGCTCCCACAAAAGCAGCTAATCTTTTCGTTCAAACAATGGAAGATTCAACTTAAATAGGGGGTTTTCCTTTCAGTTGTGTTCTAGAAAGAAAAACAGAAAGAAAAAAGAAAATGTTTTCTTTATTTAGGTTGGAAATCTTGGAGAAATGTGCCCAACAAATTCACTTGTATGCTCTCCATGCAATTTTAACTCCCAAACTTTATTCCGTAACAAAATAGAAAAGCACCACCTTTAGTTGAAGGGATTGTTTATAAAGAGACTATTTATTTTTAATACATGGAGATCACAATCATTCTCGTCTCTTAAATTTCAAAATGAGTGGTTGTAAGAGTGTCATTGAATAGACACAAAGCTTTAAAAAAAGAAATTCTCGGACTTCGTGACTCACTTCAAGTCATCCAATTTACATTTAGTAAGGAAGAATCATTGTGACTTCTATGAACAAAATATAAATCGTCTTTTTGTATACAATCTCTTATTTTATTCTATCTCAAAACCATTTTTGATATGAGAAACTTGGTCATAGATTTAATGAGGATTTTGAGACGAATTTGGAAAAAGTGAGAGGGAGGCAGAAAACAGATGAAATTTTACCTCTTGAACGAGCCTTAAAAGTAAGGATGGCAATGGCTTGGTCCTAAAAAAAAGGGGCCTGAGCTGCAGGCCCGGTTTGGTCCCGCCCGTTATTTCTTTAACTTTATGTTTTGTTTTTTAATTTGATTTAGGCCGGCGTGGGTGATGGCTGGTCCGGCCCTGGCTCGGTTCTTTGCCAGCTCTATCTAAAAGTTGTGTCCATGTAAAGAAATCTATTGTACATCTAACGGAGAGCTAGAAAAGGAAAGTCTTGAGAAAAATTTGATAAATGAGCATCGGTTTTGTTGAAAAAAGCTTTAGACAAAAAAAGGGCTTGAATATGAATCGATGATTGCCTTCCTGTCCGACATCATCAAGCGTTCATATGGATATGGGATTGAGTCCAACTCCCTTAAGAGAACCAGGATGTCCTCTACCGATCTCAATCCAGATTGTCATTTTTAATGATGATATTTAATATGAGAGAGAGATGCCAGCACATGCTTGCTTCATGAAATCATGCTTTAAAAAAGCCCAATGAAAATTAGAAAAAATATACGAAGAGACTATTAACTTTTCATGCAAGGAGGTCACCGTTGTTCTTGCATTGTCAGATTTCAAATCAGAAAGTTGTAAGAGTGCTATTGACTAGACTCAAGCTATCCAATTTGATATTGATTTACCACTACTTTCATTCTTCTTCTTAAATTAGTCAGTTGTAAATAGTTAATTTTTTGGATTAATAATCATTTATAAAAAATTCAAAGTTTCCAGGAAAAACATATTCTAAGCAATTCAAAAAGTGGTCTCTATCGGATGCTATCCAAACAACATACACCCATATTTCATCAAAAAAAAAAAAAACAACATATACCCATATTCCAGGAAATATCAATTCGAGGATACACAATTCCACAGAAATCACAGATCCAGCGAACAACTGGCCGTTGGAGTTCTCTATTCTCAACTTGTCAAATGTAAGATGTATGCTTGTTACCTTATAAAAAAGGCGCATCTAAAAAATTCATTGAAAAAAAGTTCTTTTATAGACGATTTAATGTCCAGAAACTCTCAAATTGATCATTTTGATCTCACTTTTTGTAGATATCAAAAAGAGAAGAATTTTTAAGTACTAAAACAGTTCAACTCACCTTGAACGTCCATGGAGTTTATATATGTGCTCATGTGCATAATTGTTAAAGCTTTTAAATCTCATAAATTGGGGTGGAAATAGAATTTTTAAACTCTCTTAGGGGTTTTCGATATTTGATCTACATCTTCCGCCAGAGTTTGAAGATGAGTCGTACTATAATTATTCAAAGTGTTAAACTTTAACAAATTGCACCAAAAAAAAAAAAAAAAACGAGAAGAAAATAAACGAATACCCTTAAGTATTCCTTTAACTTTCCTATATATATATATATATAGAGAAAGATTCCTTTAATTTTATCTCAGAAAAGCTTATGCTGAAAAAATATAAATTGTGTGAGAGAGACTATTTCACACTAGTGTAGGAAAGGACGGAACTTGGCCATGAGCCGGGCCTGTAGTTCCGAGTTATTCAGCCCAAGTTTGGCACGGTCTAGCCAGGCTAAAAAAGTGTTAAAAAAGACAAGAAATAATACTAAGTATTCATGACACTTTTCAATCTTTGCCAAAATGTTAAAAAATAAAAATTTATTACAAATAAATTTCTTGTTTTTTAAAATTTTTAATATCCCCAATCTTTTTTTGTTTTGACAATATTAAAAAATTTCATACAATACAAAAACATAATTTGGCAAATGTTAAAAAATAAAAATTTATTACAAATAAATTTCTTGATTTTTTAAAATTTTTTAATATCCCCAATCTTTTTTTTGTTTTGACAATATTAAAAAATTTCATACAATACAAAAACATAATTACATCAAAGAATTAACATCTTCCAAGACCAAAAGCGAAGAAGAAATAGCACCCCTTTTAGCACAACCATCGGCTATCTCATTACCATCCCCAAACTTGACCACCAAGCAAGCATTGAGTCATTTATCAGACTCAAAATATGGGATGTTCACTCAATTTTTCCAAAAAGTATTGAAAAATAATGGGTACTACTCACTACTCAGCCTGTGTTTTGGCCCAAAACAAGAATAACATTATGGTTGAAGTTCACAAGTCCCATGAGATTTGGATTTTGAAATCATGGTCTAAAATTCATGGTTCAGGAGAAAAAATTATAGAGGTGTGTTATATAATGTTTCTTAGGATGTTATTTACTTGAAGGGTTTTGTAAAAAAAAATTTTAAATGACAAAATGACTGGATTTTCCACTGGAATTTTTTTGACAAGATTTGTTTTTGTTTAGAATATTAGACCAACCTTCAATTTTCCACTGGAATTTTTGAAAAGCAAAAACACAAAAAAAGTCCAAAATTTCTCATGTTTATCATTTTTTTTGCTTTATCTATTTCTCCGTATCAGATTAGCAAGTGCCATTTTCATTTTTTTTTTTTTTGTGACAATGAGCAACTGCGATTTCCATTACATAGCACGTATTTTTATAGTGGAAAAAGATTATATAGATGTCGATCTTGTAATGTAAAAACAATGTGCTTCTGAAAAAACCTACCAAAAAAATGTTGTTTTGACATTGAAAAGCTATATAACTCATCATGTGAACATCGATTTGAATGTATATGAAAAACAAAAAGAAGGATTTCAAGTTATAAAATTTGGATTGTTGACAAAGATACTATTTAGCTTTTGTACAAGGAGTTCACAATTATTCCTATTCATTAGATGTCAAATTGTATGTTTTGGAGTGAGTCAGGAAGTCTGATAAATTTTTTAGTTTTTTCGAACTTTGTGTCTAATCATTGACACTTTTACAACTACCCGTTTTGAAATCTAAAGGACAAGAAATATTGTGACCTCATTGTACAAAAGGTAAACAACCTATTTGTAGACAATCCCTATAAAATTATTGCATCTTGTAACATATCATTTAAACCATCCGTTTTCAGTAAGGCGCTTTTCAAAATGTTTTCGGCACTCAAACTACATCTTTTAGAAAATTTTTGAGATGCCCCTTACTTTGATTGTTTAAGGTTGACACCTATACCAACCACACTGTTCAATAAATAGGAAAAGTTTATATAAGGTTGGGGCCCTAAACATTCAAACTAAGGTG